TATCTATCTATCTATCTATCTATCTATCTATCTATTTTTTTTTTTTTTGTGGTACCGGGGATTGAACTCAGGACCTTGTGCTTGCCAGGCAAGCACTTATTCTACTGACCTATCTCCCCGGCCCTATCTATATATTTTGTAATCATTTTTGTTTTTCTGTTTTTTTGAGATGGGTTTTCACTGTGGACTACAGGCTGGTCTTGAGCTCTCAATGATCCTCCTCCTTCAGCCTCCCAAGTGCTAGGATTATAGGAACGGGCCACCACACCAGGCTCTGTAATCATTTTTAATAATAGACACACTTTAAAATGAATTAATTTAATTTACATGGGGGCAGTATGTGTTAGCCCTGATACACACATACTTCCTTTATTTATTTTTTTGGTGGTAGGAGTTGAACCCAGGGCCTCCTGCATGCTGGGCAAGAGCTCTACCCCAGAGCTACATTTCCAGTCTTTTAAAAAGTATTTTTATTTTGAGATTGAGTCTCACTAAATTGCCTGGAATGGCCTCAAAATTGAAATCTTCCCTCTGCTTCTCAGGTAGCTGGGATTACAAGTGTGTGCCAGCCACTGTGTCTGGCTTATATATGTAATTTCATGTACATTTTCATTTTATATGACTTTTCAAAAGTAATGTGTTAAAAGAAAACCCCAAAATAAGGTGCAATAATTTGCTTTTGAGAATTTTTTTTTTTTTTTGAGAATTTTATTTTACACATCTTTGTTCTTTGAACTGACTACTTTAGGGTTGGTGAGATAGCTCAGTGGGCTAAAGTGCCTGCTTAGGCAAGCTTAGGTAAGCACAAAGAGCACAGTTCAATCCCTGGTACCACATGCTGTGCCAGCCCTGCCCCCAGGGTGGGCTGAGCCAGCCACAAAAAAAAAAAAAGAAAAAAATGAAGTGACTATGTTAAAAATATTTTCGTATATGCTATAAAATGAATTCAAAATTTTTGTTACTATAACTTAAAGTTTTAGTTTTTAAAGATACTTTATTTCTGAGTGTGGTAGTGCATTCCTGTAATTCAGCTCTCTGGAGGATGAGGCAGGAGGATCCTTGTGAGTTCCAGACCAGCCTTGGATTTACAAAGTGAGCTCAAGACCAGCCTAGAGCGGGCCAGGGAGATGGCTCAGTGGAATAAGCGCTTCCCTGGCAAGCACAAGGGTCTGAGTTCAATTCCTGGTTTCACAAAAAAAAAAAAAAAAAAAAAGACCAGCCTAGCCTGCATAGTGAGACCCAGTCTCAATAAGACCAAAAAAACAAAACGAAACAAAAAAACCCTCAGTGAATTGATATTTTCAAATAGCCAATAATACAAGTGTAAGAAATTCAAAGTACAAGACCAGTAGACTTTATTTTATTTGATTTTTTTACAACAGAGTCTCATTATGTAGTTCAGGCTAGCCTGGAATTTACAATGATCCTCCTGCCTCAGCCATCAGAGTGCTGGATTATAGGCATAAGTCCCCCCACTTCTGCCCCACAACAGACTTTTCATATTTGGTTACTTTAAAAATCTACTGGTCATAGCAGCTAGCACTCCAGAGGCTGAGGCAGGAGGATGATTGTGAGTTGTAGGCCAGCCTAGGCTACATAGCAAGGCCTTGTCTCAAAAAGCAAGAAAACCCAGTTGAGTAGTGCACACCTCTAATCCCAGTACTTGAGAGGCTGAAACAGGAGGGTTGTTGTGAGTTCTAGGCCAGTCTGGAGTCAGGAGAGTTGGCGTAAATTTGAGGCCATTCTGAATCAGAGTGAGATCCTGCCTCAAAAAACAAAAGAGGAAAGGAAGAACAAAACCACCCAGCCACCCACCACCACCACTACCAAAATACACACACATACACGTCACCTGTTTGGGTTTTCATAGTGCAACTATGTATTTGTTTACTTATTTATTGCAAACTTTTGTTTTTGTTTTTGTCTTGGTACTAGGGATTGAACTCTGGAACTCACTGTTGCCAGGCAGCCACTTGCTTATACCACTGAGCTATCTTCCGAGCTCTGGCAATTAACTTTTCAAAAAATTATTTTTAATTTTTTATTTATTTGGTACAGTGAATTGCTACACTCAGAATTGTAGTGATCCTTCTGTCTCAGCCTCCTCAGTGCTGGGATTACAGACCTGCACTACCACGCCCACCTTTAGTGGCCAGCATTGCATGTGGTACTGGGGATAGAACCCAGGTCCCTGCACTTGCCAGACAGGCACCCAGATGGCTGAGCTATCTTCCCAGTCCCGGCAACTAACCTTTTCAAAACTATAATGGAGGCTGCTGTGGTGACCAAGGCTGAATATCCCCAATAGTCTGAAGTCTATTCAGATATTCCTCTCCTTTCCAAAGACAGTATCCATGTGACACTGGATATTCTTTTATCTACTTTACCTAGACAGCCTCAATGCAGAAGTGATGTGAGGATCAACAGTGTTCTATAGAGTCAGATGTTACAGAGATGTACAAAAGTTTTAAATGCTACCATTCTTTTTTTTTTTTTTTGGCGGAACTGGGGATTGGACTCAGACCCTGCGCTTGCCAGGGAAACGCTTATTCCACTGAGCCATCTCCCCAGCCCAATGCTACCATTCCTTTTTTTTTTCTTTTTTTTATATTTATTTTTTTATTGAGAAATAAATATGAATGAGACAGTTTCACAGCTGATTGATAGGACAGTTTTGATAGTCAATACACTGTACATTAGTATCTTCTTAGTGGTTATCCATAGTACAAGAAGCAGATAGGATATTCTGTCCAAACACTGTTAGTACACCTCTTTCTTCTTATTGAGTTAAGCAACAGTAGCTGTAAATTTATCCTATTTTGTATATATAAATACAAAATGATCTTTCCTTTGTATCTTTTTTTAATTTTAATTTTAATTTTTTGTCTTGTCAGAGGTGAATATTCTATTGGCATCTAAATACTATAGCTGTTTGAATTCAAATAAACAATCTAACACTGTCTAGCAGTCTATAATATTAGTGGGTTATCCTCAGAAGTTATTGACTTGAGTCTTTTACAGCTCATCGTATTAATATGGATTTACTTTATATTCCTCGTTTTTATACTTTTCTGCTGGATGGTTAAGACCAAGATATAGCAAGACCTATATAACAAGAAATGTAACTTTTGTATCTGATAAGGTCAGCCAAGTACTCTCAGTATTTGTCCTGTAGCCCTGTACCGCCTTTTGTACATCCTTTTGTCAGTGTCTGACATGAGGATGAGTCACGGCCATTGCTTGACCAATTTGCTCTCTGTGAAAGCTTGAGAAAATGTTTTTTCTCTCCATGTGACTCTCCCCAGGCTCACTTTATTTTTTTTAAACATTTATTTATTGTGTGTGTGTATGTGTGGCCAGCTCAGCCCACCAGGGGGTTGGCATGTGGTGCTGGGGGATTGAACCGCGGTCCCTGTGCTTTGCCGAGCTTGTTCCAAGTAGGTGCTTTAGACCACTGAGCCATCTCACCAGCCCCCAGGCTCACTTTAGATCATCGAACACATTTCTCTGTGGCTCCATAATCTTCTTGATCAGAAAATTTGGAACACAACTGAGTTACATGTTGTTACAGTACAGGTTCTCCTATGTCCTGAGTCTTCACTGACCTTGAAAGGCTAGGGCCAAAATGTTGGCTAATCATGCAGCCCTTCCTTTTCTCCAATTTTGATCTGCTAACTTAGGTTGTTAACCCTCCAGAAGAGAAGTTAATTATTAACCTGCAATATATGCAGTTTGGTTTACTATATCTGTTGAAATGCTACCATTCTTTTTATAATTTTTTTAATTATTTATTTATTACATTTATTTATTGTGTGTGTGTGTGGCCAGCTCAGCCCACCAGGGGGCGGGGCTGGCTGGCATGTGGTGCTGGGGATCGAACCGCGGTCCCTGTGCTTTGCCAAGCTTGTTTCAAGTAGGTGCTTTAGACCACTGAGCCATCTCTCCAGCCCCAAAATGCTACCATTCTTATGAATTACTTTTATTTCAGAAAATGTAAGCCCCAACCAAATAGCTCAGTGGATTAAAGCGCCTGCAAATGGGCACAGGGGCCAGGGGTTTGATCCCTGGGCTTGCCATGCTGGCCCTGCCCCCGGGGCACACTGAGAAGGCAATTGAGACTGGGCAAGATGGCATACACCTGTAAACCCAGCATTGGGAGGCTGTAAACAGGTGGATCACTACAAGACCGAACTAGTGAGACCTTGAACACCCTGTAGACCCTTCCCTAAAAAAAAAAAAAAAAAAAAAAAAAAAAAAAGAAGAGGAGAAAAGGTGATTGTTTCTCATAAATATGTTATTTTTGCTCACATGTAATGGGTTCATTATTTTACAGGGTTTTTTTGTTTGTTTTGAGACAGAGTCTTGCTATGTGGTTTAGACTGGCTTTAATGTATTTAGTACAGGGTCTCACTGTGCAGCTTGGACTCGCAATGATCTCCTGTTTTCAGCCTCCTCAGCACTGGGATTACAGGTATGCACCACCATGCCTCATCTCAGTGTGCCCAGGAGTGGGGCCAGCACGGTTTGTGATGCCGGGGATTGAACTCCATCCCTGCGCTTGCCTAATCAGGTGCTTAGTCCACTGAGCTATCTTGCTGGCCCCAGACTGGCTTTAAATTCTCTGTGTAGTGCAGGCTGGTCTTGAGCTCACAGCAGTCTTCCTGCCTCAGTCTCTGTAGTGCATGCACAGCACCTAGTTGGTTCATCATTATTTTAAATTAATTATATTTTTAAATCTTAAAAAAAGTGTCTGGAAAAATAAAAGTGTCTGCATGCCAGGGGTGTGCAAAGTAAGGTGCTTTGTATTATGTAGACTGTGAGGCCAAATGAGTCCTGTGTGCATTTTGTGCTCAAGGAATTAATGGCCTGCAGGTAAAAGTGGTGAGGAGAGGAGTGGCTGGAGTGAGAAATTACTGGGCAGTGGATTGGTTAGTTATCTTAGTGCTACTGGGCAGGACTGACCTCAGGAGTAATGCCATTGCCCTTCTTTTGTTGCTTAGATTATTGCCTTATTTTGAGAGCCACCAAGACGTTGCTCATCCTAAAGATCAGGTGACCAGTGAGCCGACACCATCATGTCATCGAGGCCTTTTGAAAGTCCACCTCCCTATAGACCTGATGAATTGTAAGTAATTCTTTATTCTTTTTAAATGGAAGTATATTATATGTAAAAAATATGTATAGTTGAAACTTATCTCTTCAGTGTCAATCTGTGTACTTATAAATTTGAATCATACCAAAGACTATAAAGTAAAAAAAAAGACTATACAGTAAAAAGTGAATTTCCTTGTTACTCTTGACTAGACAGAGGCAACTTCTGTCTCACATTTCTCATGTTTGCCTCAAGACTGTCTAGTTGGATAATTATGTATATATTCCTTTTTGTTCTTCACATGATAAGAAATTTCAATACTTAAGTCCTTTTTAGGTCCCTGTTGGTGACATACTGTCAAATGTGATACTAATAGCTTTATAGAGAGCTGATTCACAGGGTGCACAATTTATTCACTTAGAATACATAGCTCACGGGCTGGGGAGATAGCTTGGCGGTCTAAGCATCTTCCTGGTAAGTGCAAGGACCTGGTTTTTTATTTTTATTTTTATTTTTATTTTTATTTTTTTTGGTGGAACTGGAGATTGAACTCAGGCCCTTGTGCTTGCCAGGCAAGCACTTATTCTACTGAGCCATCTCCCCAGCCCAAGGACCCAGTTTGATCCCTGGTACTGCATGCTGTGTGTAGGCTCTGTGCTGTGCAGACCCTGCGGTGAGCGGGCCACTGAAACCGAGCATGGTGGTGCACGCCTGTAATCCCAGTGCTGGGGAGGCTGAGATAGGAGGATCACTACAAGTCCAAGCTGCATAACGAGACCCTGTATCCAATAAATAAATAAGTAAAATAAAAAGAATAAATAGCTCACTGTCTTTTTTTTTTCTTTTAATAGATACACACGCACACACACACACACACACACACACATTTGTTTTGTTTTATTTTATTTTATTTTTTTGAGACAGGCTTTTGCTCTGTAATTCAGGCTGGCCTTCAACTCACTGTGTACCCTCAGTTGGCCTTAATTCCCAGTAATCTTCCTGCCTCAGCCTCTTGAGTGTTGAGATTACAGGAATGTACCACATGCCTGGCTACTGCTAGTATATTCAGTCTTACACATCAGTTAACACAATTTATTTTTTTTAAATTTTATTAATTTATTTGTGTGTGTGTGTGTGTGTGTGTGTGTGGCCAGTTCAGCCCACCAGGGGGCGGGGCTGGCTGGCATGTGGTGCTGGGGGATTGAACCGCGGTCCCTGTGCTTTGCTAAGCTTGTTCTAATTATGTGCTTTAGACCACTGAGCCATCTCACCAGCTCAGTTAACACAATTTAATTTAGCTTTTTTGTTTTTTTGAGACAGAGTCTTGCTATGTAGTGCGGGCTGACCATAAACTCACTATGTAGCGTAGGCAGGCCTCAAGCTCATGGCAGTCCTCACCCTCCCAAGTGCTGGGAATTCAGGCCTGTACCACCTGGTTTAATACAGTTAATTTTAGAACACTTTCATTACATCACTGTCACCTATTAGCAGTCACTTCCAAGTCCACCATCCATCAACCGGCACCAGTCTACTCTTTGTATATTTCTGTTTTAGGTATTTCATGTATATGGAGTTGTGTGATAAGTGGTGTTTTGTAACTGACTACTTCTTTTAGTGCAATGTTTTCCATATTATTAACTTTAAAAGTGATTCCTGGGCTGGTGAGATGGCTCAGTGGTCTAAAGCACCTACTTGGAACAAGCTTGGCAAAGCACAGGGACCGCGGTTCGATCCTCCAGCACCACATGCCAGCCAGCCGCGCCCCCTGGTGGGCTGAGCTGGCCACACACACACGCGCGCACACACACACACACAATAAATAAAATGTTAAAAAAAATAAAAAATAAAAAAAAATAAATAAAAGTGATTCCTGTTTTGTATAAAACAAGCAGAACTCTGGGTACTTGGGGATGTGTCAGTGAATTCTTAAATTTTATGCTTGTTAGCAAGCATTGAGGTGGATGGGTGTCTTCTTTTGAATAGTCTGTAGCATTGACTCAGATAACTGTCATGATTTTTTTTGTTGTTGTTTTTTTTGGTGGAACCTGGGATTGAACTCTGACCCTTGCGCTTGCCAGGGAAGCACTTATTCTACTGAGCCATCTCCCTGGCCCCAACTGTCATGATTTAATATGGGATAAAACTAATGTAGTTTTTCCTGTTAAACTTTTTTTTTAATTTTTTTAAATTTAGTACAGGATCTACAGGGTCTCACTACATAGATTCAACTTGTAGTGATCCACCTGTGTTCAGCCTCCCCAGAGCTGGGATTACAGGTGCGTGCACCACCACACCTAGTCTTAATCGCAGTCTCAGTGCACCCTGGGTATGGGGCCGGCACAGCACACCAGGGATTGAACTCGGGCTGCTGTGTCTGCCCTAGCAGGCGCTTTAATTCACTGAGCTATTTGGCCAGCCCTTCCTTCTTTACACTTACAACACAGTTGATAGAATGGTTGTGTGCCACTGGAAACAAAAACTACTGGAGATTTCCTGTGACTGGCAGTGCAGCCCTCAGTCCTGATGCTCTACTTGGGAATAGTGCCGCTCACAGATCGAGGGTTAATCCCATAGTGCTGTCCTCCACTTTTGTATACCAGTTTGCAAGCACAGGTTTTGGCTTTTTCCTTGAGTGTTTGGCTATGAATTGGGGTTCCTATAACCCCTTCATTGGGGTTAAGTGGCTAGAACGGCTTACATGACCAAGAGAACCACTTACAGTCCTTCTGTTCACCAGGGAATACCAGATAAAGGAGGCACAGGGCGAAGAGTGGGAGGAGAGGTGTGGCACGGCCGTACCCTCGGGTTGAGCTGCCCTCTAGGAAGCTCCGCCTGTTCAGCTGTCTGGAGGCTCTGTGAACCCAATCCTTTTGGGGTTTTATAGAAGTTTCTTTCTGTGGGCATAACTGATTAAATTATTGGCCATTGGTGATCAACTTAACCTTTGGCCCCTGGCCATTCCCCTCAGTATTAGGTAGTGGGGAGTCATGTATTGCTCTTAACTGACCAGCCCCCATCCTGAAACTATGGGGGACGGAGCCAGCTCCATCCAGCCCATTCGCACATAGAAAGTTTCTGTGACACTTTGGAGAATCCCAGGATTTTAGTTGTATGGCAGGTTACAGTAACTAAGACCAAAAACATATTTCAGTTCCTCTTGTGGTTTGTCTTCCAGTTATATAGGCTCCTTGGTTATTGCCTGAATATGATAGGGGCAGTTGTTTATGATAATGTGATCCCTAATATATACTGGAGAGGTCAGGAATAGCTCCATAGGAGAGAATTGGCCTATATGTGCAGATCCTGGAATGGATCCCCAGGACCATGGTGTAGGGTGGGGTTGGGGGAGCTGGAAACTGTTGTGATTTAGTAGTGCTCCATTCACCTAACAATTTTGTGCTGCCTTTAGGAAAAAATAAAAGTGAGCCATAGTGCACATGTGGTAAAGGACACAGCACATAATGTGAGATGATTGGTTAATTCAAAACCAATATCCATACAGTCATTGCTCAGGTCGCACAACAGAACACCTAGTCTGTCACCATAGTGTACACCTATAAGCCCAGCACTCTGAGAGGCTGAGGTAGAATTGCAAATCTGAACTAGCTGGTACAATTTAGGAAGACCCTGTCTCAAAGTAATAAGCAAGAGGGGCTGGAGACATAGCCTAGTACAAAGGCTCTAGGTTCAGTTCAGTCCCTGTATGAGGTGTGGGGGAACACTTCACAGTGCTTTTTTTTCTTCATACATTACTCCCTGGACAGATGAAACTGTGTAGTGAGATTATCTGGGTCTTTTGTTATCCCCATTTCCCAGTAGATTGCCCAGTGTGAGTCATTTTGGCAACTGCAGTAAACAGGTGTCACAAGAATGATTAATGAAGGTGCTTTCTTCAATAGGAGGCTGCCAGAAATTGCGCATGACCCTGGAGGCCAGTTGTAGGTTAAATCCGAGTGCACCTATCTTGTGCCTGAAAAGCAAAGAGGTTGCTACCATTGGTCTCGTCTGTCTCCATCCTCCGGGATTTTGACTTAACTGATATGGTGTGCAATATCTGAAGGGTTTTTTGGTTTCTTTTTTCGTGTGCTGGGGATTGAACCCTGGTCCTTGTACTTGCCAGGCAAGTGCTTGCCCTCTGTGCTACATACTCAACCCCATTTACTAGAGTTCTACATGTTCCCAGTTATCTAAGATGGAACAAATTTTGAGAACCTGTGCTTTATAGTATACTAGAAGAGTTATTCTCAAAATATGTTTACAAGAAGAGCAGTACCTGCGTTAGCCAGAAACATGTTCGGCCTCAGACCTACAGAGCCCACACCTCTGGGGACTGATGATAATCTCTTTGGGTGATTCCAGCATAGACTTTATTTTTTTTAAAACTGTTCAGTGCATGGATACCTTTGCTGACCAGCAGGCAGTAATAATAGTTGTGTTACGGTTTGTTTGAGTGATTACATGGACTTCACATGTTCTTTCTGCTTACCACTCTAAAGTGCTAACTTAAAGTTGTTTTTATGTGTATTTCAGCAAACCAAATCATTATGCACCAAGCAATGACATATATGGTGGAGAAATGCATGTTCGGCCGATGCTGTCTCAGCCCGCGTATTCTTTTTACCCAGAAGATGAAATCCTTCACTTCTACAAATGGACCTCTCCTCCGGGAGTGATTCGGATTCTGTCTATGCTCATTATCGTGATGTGCATTGCAGTGTTTGCCTGTGTTGCCTCCACACTTGCCTGGGACAGAGCCTATGGAACTGGCCTTCTAGGAAGTGGCATGGGCTACCCTTACGGAGGAAGTGGCTTTGGTAGCTATGGCTATGGCTATGGTTATGGCTACGGTTATGGCTATGGGGCAGGCTATACTGATCCAAGAGCGGCCAAGGGCTTCCTGTTGGCCATGGCTGCCTTTTGTTTCATTGCTTCATTGGTGATATTTGTTACCAGTGTTATAAGATCAGAACTGTCCAGAACAAGGAGATATTACTTGGCTGTAATAATACTGAGTGCCATCCTGGGCATCATGGTGTTTATTGCCACGATTGTCTATATAATGGGTGTCAATCCTACTGCCCAGGCATCTGGATCTATGTACGGCTCACAGATATATACACTCTGTAGCCAGTTCTATGGACCTGCAGTTAGTAGCCTCTACGTGGACCAATATTTGTATCACTACTGCGTGGTGGATCCCCAGGAGGTATGAGTAGTGTTTGGTTTTTATTTCCTCCCCCTTTCCTTGGGTCAGAAGCTGTCATCTTTTTTTTTTTTTTTTTTTTTTTGCAGAACCAGAAATTGAACTCAGGCCGTTGCGCTTGCCAGGGAAGCGCTTATTCCACTAAGCCTTATTCCACTAAGCCATCTCCCCGGCCCCACAAGCTGTCATCTTGAGATATGGTAACAGTTATTCTAGGAATGATTGGAAAGGGCAAGGGGGAGCCGGGGAGATGGCTCAGTAGAATAAGCGCTTGCCTGACAAGTGCAAGGGTCTGAGTTCAATCCCTCGTTCCCCACCCCCCCCCAAAAAAGGGCAAGGGGAGATAGCTTTGAACATAAGCACCTGGCTGGTACAATGCAAGATCCTGAGTTCAATCCCTGGTACAGGGAAAAAGAAAGGAATGATTGGAAGGTATTGATAACAACAACAAGCTGTAAAAAAAAAAAAAATGTCAGAAGTCCATTTCTAGTTATTTTAGAATCTCATGGAGGGACTGTGTATCACTATTAAGTTATAATTAAAGTACTGTACAATTCCACTCAAAGAACATTTGGGGTTTGTCTTACAGTCACAGAACTGTGCAGACATCATCACAGTTAGGTGTAGAACTTCCCCATTTTTCCTGCAGACATCATCACAGTTAGGTGTAGAACTTCCCCATTTTTCTCCAAAGAGATGCTTACGCCCTGCGCTATCTCCCCTCATTTTTCTGACCTCCCCTGGTAACCACTAATCCTACCTCTCTGGATTTGCCTCTTAAGTATTTTAATCTCACAATGTATGATCTTTCATGATTGTCTTTTACTTGCCATGTTTTTGAAGTTTTTCTGTTTCAGCTTGTATGAGTCCTTTATTTCTTTTTATGCTTATGTTCCAATGAATGTGTAAGCCAAATCCTATTGACCGTCAGTGGCTGAACACTGGAGCTAATTCTGTGTGGCTGTTAGAAATGATATAATGAGCACAGCTGTACATGCCAATTGTGAACATTGCTGTTCAAGTTTTCTTTTGGGGGGTGGTGTGGTACTGAGGATTGAACTGAGGACTTGTGCACTCAGCTACATCCCCAGCCCTACTTTTTTGAGACAGGGCTTTGCTAAGTTGTCATTGTACCTCACTCTTTTTTGAACTGCCAGACTTTTTTTGAAGGTTTCAATTGTACTTTTTTTTTATTTTAACATTTATTGTGTGTGTGGGGGGGGGTGTGGCCAGCTCAGCCCACCAGGGGGCGCGGCTGGCTGGCATGTGGTGCTGGAGGATTGAACCGCAGTCCCTGTGCTTTGCCAAGCTTGTTCCAAGTAGGTGCTTTAGACCACTGAGTCATCTCTCCAGCCCTCAATTGTACTTTTTTTTTTTTTTTTTACTGAGAAAAAAGTATATATTTAGAATTAGCCAGCTGGACTCAGTTTAGATGATCCCAATTTTGTTGGCAACATCCAATGCATCATAATCAGGAGCCAGTCGAACATATGCCTTCTTCTCTCCATCAGGCCTGATTAGGGTATTGACCTTGGCAACATCGATGTCATAGAGCTTCTTTACAGCTTGTTTGATTTGGTGCTTATTGGCTTTGACATCCACAATGAACACGAGTGTGTTGTTGTCCTCAATCTTCTTCATGGCTGACTCTGTGGTCAGGGGGAACTTGATGATGGCATAGTGGTCAAGCTTGTTTCTCCTGGGGGCGCTCTTCCGAGGGTATTTGGGCTGCCTCCGGAGCCGGAGCGTCTTGGGACGGTGGAAGGTGGGCGACGTTTGTATCTTCTTCTTTTTGTGGCTGTGGATGCCTTTCAGCACGGCCTTTTTGGCCTTCAAAACTTTTGCTTTGGCTTCAGCTTTGGGAGGGGCAGGGGCTTCCTTCTTTGCCTTCGGCGCCATCTTGGTAAAAAGGCCCTCAATTGTACTTTATTTCTTCATTATTCTGTATTTTAATGGATACACAGTGCTTTTACTTGGCATCAATTATGATTTCATTTAGAAATAATTTAGCTGTATCATATCAGCCGACATGATTCCTGATCTCTCCATCCCTTGGGGGTGACTGCCAACAGGGGACAGGTTCCATTCTATTCCACTCTGTGTTGCTGTGTAGGTCCATGCAGCAATACAGAATGTGGCTCCACCAACTAATATAGCATTACCGTATTTGTCAGGAAATCAGGTGTCCATTTCTGGTGGCTCTGCCGTGCTACCATTTGTTGAATGCTTCGCACTGGAAAACGACCTAATGCGTTTTTGGCCGAGGGAAACATCCTGGAGTTGAAGTTGAAACTGTAGTTACTACAGCTGCTGGCTTGGTGCAAATTACGCCCAGATACCCTTGCCCAGACTTTGCTACAAAGATTGCACATTTAAAATTTCCAGCAGAAGTATATATGAGTTCCAGTATCTATATTTCTCAACAACACTTGATATTGTCAGTTTGTCTGATTCTGCTTGTGCTAAGGGGTGCCAAATAGTGCTTCATTGTGTAGCCCCACCCACTGGAGATTGAACCCATGAGTTCACTGTAGTTTTGATTTCCATTTCCTTGATAGGTAGCGCTGTTGACCATGTACTTATTCACCATTTTCATGTACTTATTACCACTACTTGATCGTTTTGGGAGAAAAGGCAATTTCTTTTTCTTTTTTTATTTTATATATTTGGTTGTTACAGGGTCTCACTATGCAGCTCAGACTCGTAGTGACCCACCTGTTTTCAACCTCCTCAGTGCTGGAATTACAGGCATACACTACCTTGCCCAGACTAGGTCAGTGTGTCCAAGGGCGGGGCTGGTGCAGCATGTGGTACTAAGGATTGAACCCTGGTCCCTGCACTTGCCTAAGCAGGCGTTTCGTTGGCTGAGCTATCTCGGTGGCTCAGAAAAGGCAATTTCTTTACTAATTTTTTTTGTTTTGTTTTGTACTAGGAATTGGACTTGGGACCTTGCTCTTGTCATGTAGGCACTGTGCCACTGAGCTATATCCCCAGCCCTCTTTACTCAGTTTTTTTTTTTTTTTTTTTTTTTTTTTTTTTGTGGAGCTGGGGATTGAACTCAGACCCTTGCGCTTGCCAGGGAAGCACTTATTCTACTGAGCCATCTCCCTGGCCCCTTTATTCAGTTTTAAGTGAGGTTATTTTTAATTCTTTATAAATCTGGAGATGAGTACCTTTGCACAGATGTTTTTAGGTTTAATGAAGTTCAATTTATCTTTTTTCGCTTGTGCTTTGGGATTATATATAAGAAAGTTTTGCCTATTTTATGGGCACAAAGATTTCTGTTTTTCTGTTTATTTTCTCTCTCTTTCTCTCTCTCTTTTTTTTGAGACAAAGTCTCACTATGTTGTCCCACCTGGCCTTGAACTTGTGGTGATCCTCCTGTCTCAGGCTGGCCTTTAGCTCACTTTTTAGCCCAGACTGGTCTTGAAATCCCAGTGATACTCTTGCCTCAGCCTCCTGAGTGCTGGGATACAGGGGATACAGGCATGAGCCAGCACCAGCCCAGCCTTAACCGGGGATTGAACTCAGATCCATGTGTTTGCCAGTCAAGCGCTTATCCTGCTAAGCCATCTCCCCGGCCCCCCAGCCCAGCCTTTTTGAGGTAGGGTCTCATTATGTGGCCCATGCTTGCCTTAAACTTGAGATCTTCCTGCCTCAGTCTTCTAGGTCCTGTAACAACAGTTTGTGTTAACCACACTTGATCTCTGATCCATTTTGAGTTAATTTTTTGGTAGTGATGTAATGTAGTCCTTAATTCTTTGACGTGACTATGAAGTTGTCATAGCATTTGCTGAAAGGACTATTTCTCCATTAAACATTCTTTATGCTATTGTCAAAATGCACACTGTAATCCAGTGCTTGGGAGTCTGTGGTAGGAGAGTGTAAGTTTGACGTTGTCCTGGGGGGGCTACCTAGTGAGTTCAGATCTGGCCTGGATTGTATAGCAAGACTGTCTCAAAACAAAACTGCATTGGCCTAGAGACAAAACTCATAGTAACAGGGCTGGTGAGATGGCTCAGTGGTCTAAAGCACCTACTTAGAACAAACTAAGCCAAGCAAAGCACAGGGACCGCAATTCAATCCCCCAGCACCACATGCCAGCCAGCTCCGCCCCCTGGTGGGCTGAGCTGCCCCCCCCACACAAAATAAATAAATAAAATAAAATAAAATAAAATAAAACTCATAGTAACAGTGCTTGCCTAGAGTATACAAGGCCCTGATTTCTCAGCACTTCCACTTCCAAAAAAGGATTGCCATAAATGTGAGCATTTATTTCTGGACTCTCAGATGATTCCATTAATCTATCTTGATGCTCGTGGTCTTGATTACTAACTTGTAGGAAGTTTTAACAACATGAAGTGGTAGGGTGGTTTGGTTAGATTTTTTGTTCCTTGTATTTACATATAAATTTTGGGAGCCAGATTATCGATTTCTGAAAAAAAAAAAAAAAAAAAAAAAGCCCACTAAGATTTTGAAGAATTGCAGTGACTCTAGCCTAATTTGGGGGCATAGTGACATCTTTACAAATCTTCCCTTCCATGAGCGTAGTAGTCTCTCCATTTGTGTAGATTTTCAGTTTCTTTCTGAAGTGTTTTGTGGTTTTCAGAGCGTCTGAATTTTTAATAGCTCTCCAGGGATTCAGAGGTGCAGGGAAGTTCTAGAACCTTGCCTTTAGCAATTGTGAGTCATCTAATTACATTAACACCTGAAAGTTTCTGAGTTACTAATCTCCCTGTCTCTCTTTTGACTCAGGAATTTTCACATTCTTTTACCTGACTGAGTCACTCATTTGGGGTTAGACTTTCTCCAGTAATTGTCTGTTTTTATTTTGATGACTGTTTTCCCAGCAGATGGTCCTTTCAGAATGCTTGTTGTTGCCTTTCAGACATTTCTGTGGTAGAGACTGAGAGTTGATATTTTTATTTTACCACTCCTTATTCCTCCTAATCCTCTGTCTCCTTAAAAATCTACATTCTTTGATACAGGTTGTCACTATAGATAGCTGGAAGGAGAGCTGTTACTGATAGCAAATATCCAGGCCTACCTGGTACCTGCTGCAACTCCAAGACCTTCCCAGGCCAGGGTATACTTAATATACTTAGGAGCACAAGAACCATCCATAGTTGTAAATTTTTTTCTTGTAAGCCCTATCTTATAGAATGATGAAAATAGAGAAGCCTGGTGGACCGAAGGAATTATTTGTCCATTGGTTACAATTTACAACTTAGATAGATTCATGCCTTCATCATTTATGGTAAGACAGATTCTGTGTGGACAGAAATGTACATTGAGTATAAAAAGATTTGCCAAGCATGTATTATAAACAAGGTTATAGGCATGATTGGGTATTTAAAGGTAATTCTGAAGTTAACATTTTTAAGCCCTTTATTTTTTATTTTTTTTAGCCCTGCCCCTATTATGCCCTTTAGAAGTATGCTCTTGGGGCTGGTGAGATGGCTCAGTGGTCTAAAGCACCTACTTAGAACAAGTTTAGCTAAAGCACAAGGACCACGGTTCAATCCCCCACACCACATGCCAGCCAGCCCTGCCCCCTGGTGGGCTGAGCTGGCCACACACACACACACACACACACACAAATAACATTTAAAAAAAAAGAAGTATGCTCTTGATTGAACCTACTGGCCATTTCATCTGTTCATAAAAATAAGGCCCCTGCATGAACGAGCGTCAGAAACAGCTTTGTACAGCTATAAAGGAGAGTGATGATAGTATTTAGCCTTAAACATAATTTTAAGAATTGAATTAAGTATTGTGTTTGTGTCTATACACATGTAAGTTTATGTGCTTTGCTAGCCTTAGCTGAGTTGGCATAGTTTTATGGTATGTCTAAAATGCAATTATTTATCTCAGTTATACATTCCATAAACCATAGATACTTAATACTTAACCATAGACCCCTTAGATAAGGATTTCGTGAGGGGTTGATTGCAGTGAAGTAAGCCATTAAAATTAATTATGCCAATGTCTTTAATGTTTTTAGGCTATTGCCATTGTGCTGGGGTTCCTGATTATGGTGGCTTTTGCTTTAATAATTTTCTTTGCTGTGAAAACACGAAGAAAGATGGACCGGTATGATAAGTCTAATATTTTGTGGGACAAAGAACGCATTTATGATGAGCAGCCCCCCAATGTTGAAGAGTGGGTAAGTGTTAAAAAAACTTTCAGTCTTTCATGAAATTCCTAGGTTCCTGTACCTCAGTTGTCGTTTTGTTACTTTGTGCTTAAAATTATTGACTGTTTCTCAAGTTGTTTGACTTTTATAATGAATTTTAAGAGGATGGGGTAAAAGGTAAAAATCACGCCCCTCCCCTTTTTTTGTTGTTGTTGAGACAGGATCTTGCTATATAGTTGAAGCTGGCTTTCAACTCACTATGTAGCCTAGGCTGGTGTTGAATTTAGAGTAATCCTCCTACTTCAGCTTCCTGGCTGCTGGGATTACTAACGGGCGTGCACCACCATGCCCAGCTAGGTTTCCTTTTTTAAAAGAGTGGATATGGGCCCTGAAAAGAAAGGTTTCTAAGGAAATCATGCAGAAAGAGCTTGAACTTTGCAAAATAAAACAACTGCTTTCTCCCACCTTCTTTGATTTTCCTGCTTATTGCTTTGGAGGAAACACTTTTCCAGGGCATTGTGCTTGCTCAGGGGGTGCTTGGGAATTGGGAGGGGCTGGCAGCCTTTTAACTTTGTTACTTGGATGACATGGTAGCAAACCTCTGACTAATTCCATGCTCACCCAGTTCAAAAGTACTTCAGTGGTTAGAGAAATTTTTGCTCTGATTTTGCCGTATACTGTTAACCTCTCCAAGCTTCCTTGATGCTGTGTGGCAATTTATGGAAAAGCTGAGGGAGCCTCTCCAGAAGTACCTTCCAGGGAAGCGCTTATTCCACTGAGCCATCTCCCTGGCCCCCAGAAGTACCTTCCAAATGAGTGCTACTGAATGTCCTTTAGAGATGTTCAGAGTGGAACTTTATTTCTGCTAGGATGCTGTTAGAAGCAATCTTACAAGCTGCCATCACAGGTTTCTTTGACCAGATTGGTTTCTTGCCTTCATGAAGGTCAGCTGAGTACTGGACACTGATCTCAGGGTAGGTTTGTTCTGGCCACTGGGTGTGGGGTATGGTGTATCCTGGGGGAGAAACGGCCAGCCAGGTACAGGGGAAAGATACTTTATCTCTGCAGAACATCCTAAAGGGCTAATTTTTTAGGAAATCTAGAAATCTAGATGAAATTATATGGGGCTGGTGAGATGGCTCAGTGGTCTAGAGCACCTACTTGGAACAAGCCTGGCAAAGCACATGGACCGCGGTTCAATCCCCCAGCACCACATGCCAGCCAGCCCCGCCCCCTGGTGGGCTGAGCTGGCCACACACACACACATAAATAAATAAAATTAAAAAAAAAAAAATATATATATATATGGAACAAAAACCCAAAAAGCCCCAAAGCAGTCTTAGGAAAGCAAGAATGGGCTGGGCATGGGAGCATAACTACTTAAGAGGCTGAGGCAGGAAGATCACAAGTTTGAGATTAGCACAAGCAACTTGATGAGACTTGTCTCAAAATAATAAAAAGGGTGGAGATGTAGTTCAGTGGTAGAGTACTTGCTCAATGAAAGCAAGATACTGGGTTCAATCTCCAGTACCTCAACCCCCGAAAAAGGACTTAGCTTTTGCCACCAAAATGATGGTTACAGTGTCTCTGCTTGCTAGTGAACCTTCCTTCTTTGTTTCCCATTTGGTAGTGATGGTGAACCTTTTAGAGCTTTCAGCGAGGACAGCGAGCCCACTGCTGCGCACAGTTGCCCCAGGTTCCTCACCACTGCCTGTGAGAGCCGGGTGTGGGGGAAGTGTTTGCTTTTCTGCTTCAGCCCCAGGCAAGGCCACCTGTGAATGGGGTAGGACAGTCCTTTGGAACTATGCAGTCAGAGTTTCTGGGTGTGCCTTTTTCACTGGTTTGCTGGGTTTGTTTACTTATGGTTTCGACAGCTTTTAAAAAAAAGCTCAAGGGCGACCAGTTCCAGTGATAACAGCCTTCCAAGTGAACTTCAGCCTCTCACCTGACTTCACTGTCTTAGAGGTTTAATGGGTGATTTGGCAAAAGATCATCCCTGGTAATTAGGAGGTGATGGTAATGCTGAAGCCAATGGAACTAACTGACCTTTTATTTTCTTTTTGGTGGTGTTGAGAACTGATCCCAAACTCAACTCCTGAGAAAATAAAAATGTCTAACTTGACTTAAACATTATAAATGAAACCATCCTTTCTTGGAACCGTGGATTGAACTCAGGTCCTTGCACTTGCCAGGGAAGCGCTTATTCCTCTGAGCCATCTCCCCGGCCCCAAAACCATCCTATAATATTCCATAAATATGTATAATTTTTACATATTAAGTAAAAAGTTAATTTTTCAAAAGGCAGTATAGGGGCTAGGGAGATGGTTCAGTAGATTAAGTGCTTGCCTGGCAAGTGCAAGTGCCTGAGTTCAATCCCCGGTTCCGCCAAAAAAAAAAAAAGACAAAAGGCAGTATGTCTGTTGAACTTCCCTGTAAACTTCCTGGTGCTGGGCTTGTTTCACCGGAGTCCAATGCACCCCTCTAGTGACAAACATTTTCGTTGTATGAAATTTAAAGAATCATCTATTGAAGATCAGATGTATGACTTGCCCTGACTGTTTTATGTGATTCCTAAGCACACTGTAAATTGCTTTGTCGCTGATGTTTGTGGTACTGGGAATTGACCCCAGGGACGCTCTCCTACTGAGCTATATCCCTAGCCCTAATTTTCTTTTTTTGATCATGCAACAGAGTCTCCCTAAACTGCCTAGGCTGGTCTGAAGAGTGTGTACTGCTGCTGCCTCAGCCTCCTGACTACCTAGGGTTCCAGATCGCACTTGTAATGTGCCTGGCTAATGTCCTCATTTTTGCCCCCTTCCTTCAGTTTCTTAAGAAAAGGTAGTTTGAAAGAAATGGTTTGGATTTATTTTATTTTATGTTTTTGGTCTTTTGGGACAAGGACTGGCTATGCAGTTCAGGCTGGCCTTGAGCTCACTTTGTAGCCCAGGCTGGTCTTCAACTCAAAACAATCCTCCTGCCTCAGCCTCGGAGTGCTATAATTACCGGGTTTGTTTATTTGTTTGTTTGTTTATTTGTGGCAGGGTGTTGCTATATAGCTCAGGGTGGACTTGAACTCGTGGCAGTCTGCTTTAGCCTCCTGAGTGCTCAGATCATAGGCCTATGCCACCATACCTGGCTTCATTTGGAGATGTTTTAGCCACAGGTTTTGCTTTCCTTCTGTTTGCTCTGTCTCAGCCGCAGCTGTTCCTCTTCCCTTCCTCAAATAGGCCTTCCTATGCTCCTGGGGCTACTGTGACGGAGATGTGACCCAGCATCCCTGCCACACAGTAGGGTACCACTGGATTTTCTTCCTTTGGATCATTAAAAGTTAGTAGCATCTAAAGAATTAACTACTTGTGCTGGGTAAAAGTTAAACTGGGTTCTAGGCATGCTTGAGACCCTTGGTTTAGTCAGCTTCAATTCTGGGGAAAAAAATTAGGTTTTACTGACTGTGAAGTATTAAGAAAAGAGACTACCCATGTAGCTAGCCAATGATGGTTGGTTGAGGGAAAATAAAACTTGCTACAGTTATAAGTATCTACTCAATATTAATTTACTCTCTCCCTAAAACTTATGGTAGGTTAGTTTTGTTTTTTGGTCTTTTGGTACTAGGAAATGAACTCAGGACCTCATACTTGCCATGAAGGCACTATGCCGCTGAGCTATATCCCCAGCCCAGAAATTTTCTAGTACCCTGCAAAAAAAAAAAAAAAAAAAAAAAAGAACTCATGGTAGTCTTCCTGCTTTGGCCTTTGGAGTTCTGGGGTTATAGGCATGTGCCACCTTGCCCAGCTCATTGAGAAAAATTATCTTCTATTTATATTTGTAACCACTTCACTGTATAGTATGTCTATTTTCATTTATTTATTTATATTTTTTTGGTGGAACCAGGGATTGAACTCAGGCCCTTCTGCTTGCCAGGGAAGCACTTATTCTACTGAGCTATCTCCCCGGCCCCTCTATTTTCATTTGTATTGTACATTCTTACTGGGGTTTTTTACAGAATGAACATTATTTTGTCTTGTGTGTTAATAAATTTTTTCCTAGGTTGTTGTGGTCTCTTACATTTGTCTAAGGTATGATCGACAGTGTTCTCATTTTTCATGTTCTTAGATTTGGCCTTTTTTTTTTTTTTTTTTGTCTTCCATGTTTCTTTGTGTTGTTCCTAGGAAGACTTAACCCATCTCTTCAAGGTTTAACTGGTACTCCTTTGTAGTTTGTAACTATGTAGTCCAGGGAGGACTCTTCACTTGAAATCTTTCTGCCTCAGCCTACTGAGTGTTGGGACAGGTATGTGTCACTGCATCCCATAAGAATATTTTTGGGGACACACTCTACCAGAGAGCTGTATGCTTGGCCAATTTCCTGTCAGTGGGCTTCTGGGTTATTAAGAACTGCATTGCCAAGAACACTTTACTACACTTGTGCAAGTTCCTCTTGTGTGTATGTGCCTAAGAGTACAACTCCTACTGTAAATGTACACCTTATTTTTAAAAATGTACACCGTATAATGCCAAATTATTTTGCATAGTTTACTCATTTTATCTTGCCAGCAACTCTTGGTATCATTAGACTTTATAATTACCAGTAGACTGTGAAGTGCATCATTGTTGTCTTGGTCTCTATTTTTCTGAGCATGTTATGTCCAGTGGCTTAATGTATTTTCTCTTCTACTTTTCGGCAATGGCTAGTTGCCAACTAGTTCCTCAACTAGTTCCTCTGCTCTCTTTGTAATATTGAGGGTTGGGCCTAGGGAGCTCCAAGCTCCATGATCAGTCTTTTAAAAAAATATATAATAATTATATACATATGTATGTATGTATATATGTGTCTGTATACATATACATGTGTATATAGCCACATGTTTATATATATTGTATATATGTGTCTATATATACATATATATGCATATATATTTATGTTACTTATATATATATTTTTTTTACTGTAGAAGGAATTCAGGAGTGACTTACTACTGAGCTATACTCCAGCCCTTTTTCTATTTTATTTGAGATAGGAAGCTCCAGTCT